TTCATCACATCATAGATTTTCTCAACATACGATGACCGCTCCTCGTAGAACTTGTCCCTAAAAGGAAGGATAATGTCACAGACATATACTTGTAAGCCAGTATTTACCTATATAAATATGTAAAAATAAGTAGAAGTAGGTAAAAATAAATTAATTCTATAATATCTTCTATATAAGCTTCATAGATGTACTTTGACTTTATAAGTATCTATAATTGACTTTTTAGGTTAAAAAAGTGGTGAAAAACTTGGCCATGTGCCACATATATTGTTAGCATGAAGACGAAGCTAACTATGTAGCCTACACGTAGAAAAACTTATCTTATAAGTCAAGGCATGTGTTCTACAAAGTCAACACATATTGGAGGTCATATAAAATATCGCCACGTAGCCCCTAGTTAGATAGTATATATAGAGACAAGAATGAAGCCCTCTTCTTTCTTATCAATTCCTTTCTTGCTTCAAGCCTAGTTTCAAGAGTCTTAAGTTTTCTTGTCTTTTGGTAATAAGCCATTCCAATTTATTTTTAATATATGTACTTCCTTATTTCTATTTTGTCACTCTTTCCTTGATACATATTTCATTGGTTTATGCATCATTTTTTAATTCATGTCTTTGACAATAGCATCCATGATTTTTTCTTCCATTTCAAATAACTTAATAAATCCACAAATCAAATAGAGGATAGTAATCCGCAACTTCTAATGTCAAATAGAAATTTCTATAAAGAAGTGTGATCTTTGCTCTTTAAGAAAAAAATTCAAGATTTTAGATAACAAAGAATGTTAGTTTAAAAGTAAGTGGTTGACAATGTTTGAAATATAATAATAGAAGTGAGATAATCCATTCACTTTTTAAAGTTAGATATGTAATTTTTAGATAGATAGTAATTTATTTTTATCTATGTATATTATTTAGATAATTAATAAAATAAATATGTCTATAATACTTATATTTTAGCCAAACAATAATTAAACTTTTTATTGATCCTTTATTTTTTGGCTAAAAACTTGTAGCTAAAAATAATGATTTGATTCACACCATAAGCCAAGTTAGGCAACAAGTACTATCTATAATCAAAGTATTAATTAAGTTTTTTGAATATTTCTATCTTTATTAATATTATTGCATATGTACAAGATCCAAGCCAATTAATCAATAAATCAATGATATGGTGGTTAATGTTATAAATGATTTGTGTATTCATAGAATACTTCTTTTTCTTGTCAAAGATTGCATCTTTGTTATTTTTTGGATGCTAGCTCAAGGAGAATTATGTCCCATTGATAAGTCCAATGCAATGTTTGAAGCCAAGTAGGTTGAAAGATTGGCTAATTTAAAGCCTTTGAGTAGTATTTGGCCATTATTGGTACTATTTTTGGAATAAAAAAATATCATAAATTACTTAATTAATAAAGAGGTACAAGATGCTATTATCAATATCCTATATAATTTATTTTTTTCAATGATAGCTCTATTCTCCTTTGACTTAAGATACTCTAATGCTAAAGTCAATTGCTAAGCAATATTGGTTTGTGGGCAATGGCTCTTATTACTAAAAACAAAGTGGTCTTTAATGAATGAAAATACCATCTAAAAGCTCTTTTGCAACATTCTTGATATTTGGCAAAATTTGGCATTATACTCATTTATAAAATAATTCAAAATCTAATTGTATAATTTAAATATAGGATTTTAAAAGAATATGAAATAAAAATTGTTGATTGCATCATGAATTATTAGATGTTCTCTTATATCATCAAATTTAAAAAAATGGTCTTGAAACTTGATATCAACTTATTGGCATTATTCTTTAAATAATTTATAAAATTCCTTATTAAGTGCAAAAGTAGTCAATATTTTTAAATCTGAAAAGATCTACTATTTTTTAAAGCGCCAAGGCAAAGTGTTAGGAGGTGTAGCATGGAGTGAAAGAAAAAAGAGAGTTGAGGTAAGCAACATAGTTTTTGATATTTGATCCATCTTTTTTTTTGCTATTTTAATTTCAAAATCACCCACTTTGCAAGATATATGATTTGGTGAAATATCTCAAGATACTTAGAGCAAATATTACAAGTGAAATATTACCCAAAAAAAGCCATGTTTGAAACTCTCTAATATCAGTATAAAACTTTGATCTGTGAAACTTATATAGTAAAGAGTTTTTTTAAAAAAAGATGTTGTATAAATTAGAATATTTTATACTCTTAAAGTTTTTTATTCTTGTTTTCTAAACTTTAATTGGTTATTAAGTATTGAAAAAAATATATCTTTTTTTTACAATTAATCTATTTAATTGTATCCTATTTTTACTAAAATAAAGTAATTTTTTTTGGATAAGTACAATCCAAATCACTTTAATAAGCTTCAAATATAAAATAGCCTTCTACAACCTAATTTCTACAAATACTTCTAAAATATATTTTTCCAAAATCTTGATAATGTTGTGGTCAAATGTTTTTCAATAGAAGTGGTATTTCTTTTTGTTTTGTTTTTTATTTTTATTTTTGTTGCTTTTCAGTTCTTTGCTTTTCTACTTCTGCAAAAGTTCAACATTTAAAACACATGAATTTTATATGTAAAATTTTATATTAAACATGATATTATTTGAAGCAATTTATAACAGCCATAATGTGATGTATTATTGTATTAGCCCTTGGAATACTTGTCTTTTGGCAAATAAAAAGCCAAAAATAACAGGCAATACCAAACATACATCAGCACATGATTTATCACTACCCTTACTGTTATTGTAATGAAATGGTATTACTTGGTCCAATTATGAACATTTATCTTTCTGCTGCTTGGATATTAAGTATGAAATTCTCATTTTAGAATTTATGTACTTATAATATTGTAAGCAATTAAATATTTTTTTGTGAAATATAAAGTTTCAGATAAATAGTGATAATAGAATACAATTTTTTTTAAACAAGCCAAAAGTAACATTACATTTTTGGCTTGTATTGACTTACTACTTCACCTCTTCTCATGTCTCATCATCTGTTCAAGAAGGGATACAAAGACAATTGTGCCCATATGTTCTTAGTATTCCAACTTTGAGAAAGATCTTTAAAGAATATTGAACAAACAAACAAACACAAAATAAATAAATAAGTAAATAAAAACTCCTAGAAAAGAAGTAAGAGGAGGGAGGCAAAAGAAGTCACAGTGGAATGATGTGCATTTACACCAAAAGATATGGCACATCAGGAATCTGTGCGAAGCTCTCGAATGCCATATCCTCATTGAAAGTGTACCTTTTCATGCAACATCATCTCATTTTGACAATCACCAACCTCTCTCTCTACATTATTATGATGAGGAGGAAGAAGAGGTCAATGCCATGAGATCCAGCTTTGTACACCATGCAAAGAAAATCTGTACTTCAACTGAATTTGCTCTTACTTATCACTTCTCTTTGCATACTTTAATATTTCATCTCGTATATATATATATATATATATATATATACATATACACATGTACAAACAGACAGAAAATACCATTCCATCACAATGACAGTCAGGCTAATGATAAACCAAGTGCTAATGTCCACAATTTTGACACTAGTTCGCATCGTTCTTCTGTGTTCTGTTTGTTTTCTTGAAGCTGTTGTTGTTATTTGTTTGTTTGTTTGTTTGTTTGTTTATTAATGCAGTTGTTTTGCAGCGGCAACGTATCAAGAGAGAGAGAGAGAGAGAGAGAGAGAGAGAGCTATGGGGTGGAGGTGTTGGAGCACTGGCGTGTCGGCGGCGACGCCGAAGCACAAGATAAACATGAGACTGAGACGCAAAGCCAGGCGAAGGGATGGGAGAATCATGTTTCGTGTGCGTCCGCGGCGGAGGTGACGACGATCGCGCACCACATCTTCGGATCTTGCTGCTGGTGTGAACAATGAGGCGGCGGAATGGTGGGCTCTATTGCACACATGCACCTCTGCGTCCCCACCACGTTCCGCAGCTTAGCCCCAGGAGCAATCCCGGGGAGGAATGAGCACGACGTCACGCGCCTTGCGGTGCCTGCATATACCAGGCTTTCACGCACAGCTAACTGCAAACTCAAAAAGATATACGCTTCTTTGATACAGCATTAGCCTCCGGAACTAACCCATATGTCGTATCGAAAGGAGGAAGATGACCACGTATGAGCAAGCAAAAGATCTGGATGCCTCGGCACCTGCATGCCAAAAAGCCTGCACTGTCTGAAAGGAGTGCGGGTATCGTACTGTACACAGGAGTGATATCAAGCTTGCTGCCGCATTCACTGCTGTCATAGGCGTGGGTGGGTCGTAGGGTGTGGGAAAATCTGAGAGGTGAGAGCTTGTCAGCAGCCCCCAGTTGCGCATAATTCTGGCAACTTTTTCTCCACAGAATGATTCCCTGCATGTTGTGAGCGGTCATGAAATCATTGGGAGTCACTGTGGATGATGGCAAGTTGTTGCGGAAGGTGAAAGTCAACGGAATAGATTCTTTGACGCCGTGAGCATATTCTGCCAGTCTCGAGGGAACTTCTTCATTGGGTGTGTTGCATGGACGGTCGGGCACAGCAGGCAGCGGGAATTTTGCATGCACTGGCCGTGGCTAGAATTTTTATCGAAAAGGATGGGGAAAAGCCACGGGAGCTGAGCTAGAGAATCATTCGGCCATGATGCCGCTGGTGCTGGTGGCGCCGCGACATCGATCTTCGCATGGTTACCAGCCACTAATCTGTCACGATGATAAATCTGTGACAAGTTGCCTCAGCCGCTGTCAACGGCTTGTCGAGTTGCTGTACCCGCAATGCAGTGGAGTCGCTTCGATGCGTGATCTCACCCAGGCTGGTGGTGATTTGATGAATCCGCGCCGACAGCGACTGGGGGAGATCCTGGCACTTTCTTTTTCTAATATCCAGCGATGCTGCCTGGAACAAATTCTATGCAGATTCAAGGATCAACTTCCTGATGCAAACACGGGAGAATATGAAGAATCGACAGAGAAATGAGTGGCGCAGAAATGTGTATAGAAACCGAATCATATAGTTTTACTTCACCACAAGTGGTCTAATCACTCCTTACAGATGTGCCTTGGCTGAAAATAGTACAGACTAATGGTTCCAGCAATCAATAGCTTTACAGGAGCACATTTAAAATAGTTGTTCACAACCCTAATAAGTGGACGTGTCCGCATCTTAGCCCTAAGTTCGGCCAACTATTCGGCCAGCAAGTCAACGATCGATCGATCGCAGCAAGCTAGGATAACCTCAAATATTACATGTGAATGTTTGGAAACTAAAAAGTGAGGAACCCAGCAAGAGGCTCGACAGATGAGATTGCCACAAGACTGCAAGCAGGCTCTCAGAATCAACTCCGAATTTCCTTGACATGCGATTCGTGTCCGATTGGGAAAAAATTCTCGAGGTAGTTCTGGTCTCTTCGGAGACACTCGATCTTCGCGGTTGATCTCCATCACGCTCATCGTTCCCATCGTCGCTCATTCAACCCAAAATTTGTTGCCAATGTACCCATACCCCTGTCGTGGTGGTTAAATTTTTACACTACAGCTACTGCCCAATCCCGTTATGTACACGTCCCGCGCCCACATAGATTATGGCCCGTCCATAGGGACTCCTTCCGTAATCAAATCCTTCACTACATAAACCTGTGTAAAATCATTTGTACATTTTGTTGTTAAACCCCGTCTCCAAGTTGGGGTTTGCAGACCTAAGCCACCGCTGCAATCTTGGCCTCAGTAAGCCCACTCAGGTTGAAGCCCATCGATGCATCCGGCCACCTCTGGAAGGCTAGAATACCATCGGTAGCGGAGCATTCTTGACTGGTGATCATCACCGAACGTACCATCTGTGAGGCAAGATAGTTGGCCACTCTCCTCGGTCACGGTTTGCAATGGCGACAGAGGAGAATCACAGGGAATCTCCTGATCGTAGAGCACATTGTCGCTGGGCCAAGCAATGCAATCCAGATTCAACTTCCCACTGCTTTGTGCCTCGTCCTCGCCCTCGTTTGATGTGTAGGATGCCTCCTGCTTCGCTCGAATGCGGTTGTTCCCAAGGAGGTTGTCGAAGCACCTCATGGGTGTCGACGGATGTGCGAAAATGCTCTGCGGGATGCTGGCGTGGTTCAGCATGCCTGAGTTAATCGCGTTCTGGTTGTAGTATGTCTCCTTCATCAAGTTGTCGGTGTCCATAGCTGAGGGGACCATAGAAATCGAGCCAGGGACCTTGGAGTTGGGCATAGTGTGCACCCACTGGACAGGGAGCGCAGTGGCAACATCGCCTAGGGCTAAAGAGACATCCTGTGGGTAACTATCTTGGCAATTGTAGCATGAATCGGTTCCCGTGCATGCATCGCACTCCCCTGAGTCCGTCACAGCGGGGTTCGGGGAACTGTCACGTTGCAGCGCCGAATGCGAGTCGATGAGCTGGTAGGGCGAGTCACCATGCGTGACGCCGGACTTCTTATTGCCGATAAACTTCTGAAAGACGCGGCATATCACCCATTCGTCTTGCTGCAGTTCGCCACCAGCAGTGCATATCGATGTTAAAAAACTCCCTTCAAAAGAAGCATTCAATAGCATGTGTGCAGTGCATTGATCACATGAGAGAGCAGAAATACGCTAACTCTAAGAGAATTGAAGGGATGGATAGACCTTGGGTCCAAGGGATTGCTGGCCGTGGAAGCGACTTGTGGAGTCGCGCTCCAGCCGATATTCATGCATGATCCAGTTGGTCTTCACGCCGCGAGGAGCGCGTCCCATGTAAAAAACTAGCGTCTTCTTCATGCCCACCAGCGAATGAGTGCCGGAGTTCATGACATCCCTGTCTTTGCCAGTGGCCTTCCAGTAGCCTGTCTTCGTGGCTCGGTTGGTTCGCGTTCCAGTTGGATACTTCCGGTCCCGAAGACTGTAAAAATACCATTCCTTCTCCCCTACCTTCGCTTTCCCTGCGCAATCGTCACCCACCCAGGAAACCAAACCTCAGCCCAAAGTCGATATTAATTCGTCCACACACGCAAAGATCGGCGCACATCACATTAATTCAAATGATTTCGAAGGGATTGAGGGATTGAGTTACCTGGAAGGTCCCACGGCTCACATTCGTTGAAGTCCACCACGCAGATAGTCCTCACTTCGAAACGAGGGTCCCTGACCTTATTAGCTAGGTAGAAGGTCACGAGCTCTTCGTCCGTGGGGTGGAAACGGAAACCGGGTGGGAGCTCCATATTGCAATCCTGTCGAATGCCTACAATTTTGGAAACGTTGCACATGCTTGCCATGCAAAGAATGAATACCAGCGATCACGAGCGTAATTTCAAGAGCGACCTCGATTTTTCTGCTAACGACACCGGTGGAAAATTGCAGGGAGGAAGGCCAGTAAGGAAAGTGTTTGAGGATCATAGCCTGTCTTCAGAGCCAAAAGAATGGATCGCTACAAGTGAGAGTCCCAACTCACATGAAATAAGGAGTCTTCGGGGGATGAGAGACTGACGAACTGGCGGGACCTTCAAAAGAGAAGGACTTCAAGTGCATGACCCACGGAAAAGGCGGAATGATTCTTAATCAGCAAGAAACACGGGATCAGCTCAGACAGGAATTTCTAGGCTCGGTCGTAAGCGGAGCTCTAACCTTGAGCACTAAGGAGTCGTCACGGAAGTCACGTCAAGTCCAGGTTGGGAGAGGGAGAGAGAGAGAGAAAGAGAGGATATAAGCAACCTGGTGCAAATTGTGTTTCATTCCACTAGATCCAAAGGTTACAGGCGGGTGCCTATGTCACCAAAAAGGAACAATAGAAAAGAAAAAAGAACTATTAATTGCAACCCGGATGGATTATAGAAGTTTCGAATCTAAGCGTCACGAGCGAACTAGAAACCAGCAACCGTGGCTAGCCAAGGTCTGAAGAGAGAAGGTGAGCACAGCGAGGAGTTTGCAATCAGATCATGTCCCACATGGAAGAATAGGTACAGGAAAGTCTAATTGCAAGATGTAAGATTTTCCGACGACGAGGAAGAGAGGACAGGACGCACAAATCCTTGAGCTTCAGACCTTTGAATTTGTGGGACTTTCGCATAGAATACCAAAGATCCTGTGCTGCTGCAACTCGCATGTCCGTCTTCTCACTTACTCTGAAACTTTCCGGTTTCCTGAAGGGGTCCGCAGATTACGGAATAATTGCAGCTCGTGCGGAGCGCGGAGTCATCAACCTGCTGCACGCCTACGCGAACACCTCGCACGTGTGAGAATGTGCACAAGCGACCATGAAATTCAACAACCAGGTGCACAGTTTGAAGAATTAGGAGCCACGCTAGTCAAGAACAATGCGCACGGTGCACGGCTTTACATCAAGCCAATTGCATCTATCTGATCTGCGACTCCACCTCTCACCCCTCTCCATCCACTAAAATTACACACCTAAAGGCCCCTAATGCCACGACGAAGACAGGACAATAGCTAGCCTTAAAGCTCCTCACAGCCGACACTCACGGGGTATCACCGGACCCAGCGCCTCCCCTTCCGAGCACAGAATCTACGTCGGCGTATCTGACAGCTACCAGGAAGCGCCCCCCTCGCCCAACGCTCTAGCTTCTACACAACTAAAGCAGTAATCCAACAGAATATTTACATATAAATAATCTGCACGAGCACACTTCGCTCAAAGAGCAGCTCGCCGTTGCCACCAAGCGATACTCCTTCAGCAACCGGTTAAGTTTTAAGACGATCCTCGGCCAATCAAAGTGATCTATAAACCTCACCTGACGACTGTAACACAGTATGCGCATCCCAAACCAACCTCGCATCCCAAGTTCCAAACACCATCCATGCAAAGAAAAAAAAAACCACCCTCCTGTTCCCTTGACCTGAACCAAACCTACCGTCGTCTACACTTCAGACCGACTTGTCACCATTCGCATCATCCTTACGTAGATCGAATTCAACGAGTAAGGGATGCCCAATTGTTCAACACCCCATTCGCACACAGCAGAACTACTCAGACCATCGCGATGAATCTGCTCACCAGAATCAAACGACTAGCCAGCTGGGGGAGCGCGTCGGGTGCAGACGAGCAGATCGGCAAGTCCTGAAGTTCTGAGGTTACGTCCGCAAGTCAGGGAGCGGTGATATGGATGAGCTTGAAGCAGAGAGAGAGCACAGCAGTGGGCGTGGAAGGCGAAGGAGCAGAAGAGCAGCAAGGAGACAAGAGGGGAGTGGAGCTGGAAGAGGGACAATTGGCACGGCGTGGTGAAGAAGAGGGGTCGGAACCCAGACAGTGAGAAACAAAAAAAACAAAACAAAACACAAACAGTTTGAACCGCAAGATTTTGGTGGAGTGGCCGAGGCCGCGGGGGTTATGAAGGCTGTGGTTTTCTAGTTGGCCTGGCCCGCTGCTGCCCACATCGCGCTTCTATACTTTCCTTCCTTCCCCATGGACGACCATCCCAACTCTCTAACTCTACGCCTCGCCCGTTTCTCGCCCCCTATTCTACCGCCTCGCTGGCCTCTTCCGACCTCCCTCCTACCAGGCAGGCGGCTTTTCCTCTGCTCTACGCATGATCACATCCTGCGAGCTGCTGCCCCGTGAAGCGACGCAAGCCTGGTTTAGTTCTATCTCTTTCTAGCCGGATGAACCCCCCACTCCTGCCCACTCCCTGCAACTTTGCCGGACGTCTGCAGCAACTCCCTTCCCCTCCCTGCTGCTGCCGCTTTCAACCCGGTTTGACCTCGCTATAGTAACTACTGGCATTTTCCCCATCGAAAAGTGCAGTTACTTCTATAGTTTGTGTATTATATATGTGTGACTGTTAGTGTGCAGATCTGTTTGGGTTTGCAGAGTTGCCGAGCACTGTTGAACTGTTTTTCACCGCGAGTCACGTTTGGGTTAACGTGAGAGAGGTTGACTATTGTGGCCTCCCTTCTCTTTCCCCCTTCTCAATCCACCCTGAGCAGTGTGGAAATTCACCATCTCCGTCCTCCTAGCCCATCCACTTGCTTGGAGGGACATTAGGATTCCAACTTCTTCCTAGCCATCAGTGTTGCTTTCCCACACTGCACATAGAAGAAGTTTGCACACAATGCTCTTCAGTTGTGTGGGTATTTTATTGAGCTCCAGTGGATGGGTGTGTAAAAAAGAAGGCGGCTGAAGTCACAGTTGAAGGGCTTTTCTATTTGTGAGTGTATTAATGGAAATCTATATATATATACACATGTGTGTGTGTGTGTGTGTGTGAAAATGGTGACAAAATGAGTCCAGACAGACCACGTGTGTAGAGATATAGGCTTCACTTCTTTAAACTCTCTTCGAAAAGGATGAAACACGCACCGAAAAAATAAACTAAACTGAGACAAAAAAACACACACAAAGATAACGAAAAGAACAAAAGAAAAAGAAAATACTGCTCTACGCATCAGGACAACCATTCCAAAAGTGCATATGCTCCAGCCCTTAATTGAGGAGACCTATTGTTATTAGTATTATTGTTATTATTGATTCTAGGTCTTTTGTTAGGCATGAGTTTCTCAGCATGGATTATCTGAAGCCAAAGCTAAATTTGCGTAGTGAGGATACTTTGAATAAAGCTTAAAATAGCATTGCAGCAGATGCTTGCTCACCTGGGAATATTAGGGTTTTGATTGGCTTTTCTACGAATGAAGCATTTGAACGAAAGGGTCCACAGGTTGCATTCTCGAAATTGGCTAAAGGAGAGTTCTTTTTATACTAATCTGTAATTAAGAAAGAATGTTGGTGAAAATTGGTGCCCAGGCTGTGATGCGATTCCCTTACTTTTTGCAGACATGCACCACAATCACATGGTTGACTTGATTTCAAAATTATAAATAAAATATCAAATCCTGAAAACCAATGTTCTTTTTTATAGTACAATAAACTTCATTAAGGGTGGTAGGTGTTCAATTTTCTTTCTTGCTTTCTGTCTTTCTTCTTTATATTTTATTTTAATTGGGAGTTGACAACTTATTCAACTTACTGAGTCATCAAACATTTATTCTAGGAAACGAACAAACAAAATTAGTGCATCTATAATTATTATATATATTTTTAAATAAAAAAAATAACAAAATAAACGCAGAAATCTAGAATTAAGTGCAGTACTCCTTCACTTGATTCTGAATCTTTATTGATATTGAAGTTTTGAAAAGGATAAACAGACATTTACTCATTTTACAAAAACCACCAAATTCACAGGGTGGGGCAACTTTTTCTTCATGAATATTTCATTTCTTAAAACCTTTTCATCCCAATTCTATACATAATATAAAAATGAGGAGAACTGAAAACAAATCAAAGTGAAAATGTAATGTCATTTCTTACTTTTTAAATCTTCTTCATATTGTTGTAGAAATATCATGTGGGGAGTTTCTATGTCCCTCACACCAATTTATAAAGGAAATATTCTTATCAACTGTGAGTCTGAACAAAGAAAAAATAATGGAAAACTGAACTTTTGTGACAATATGTTAAAATCAATAAACCAGATGCTTTTGATATTTTTTGATGAGAAGCTTTGTAGTCAATGTCCCTTGCAAATGCTTTCCCTTCCTTTGATGCTGTTTCTGAATCTTAGCTCAATCATATGACTTCATCATGTGGGTTTGGCACATCTTTTTTGGTGTACACTCATACTCAACTATTCAATTATTCTCAAATGAACCCTTATTATGCTTCTGTAATATCTGAATAACCCCAAATTATTTCACAAGACTAAGTTTACATTTATTTTACTTTATTTTATTTTTCGTTCTCTGGAATTTATCATCACTGAAAGTAAAATGATGAAATTTGAACATAAGTATAAGCCATAAGGACTTCCATCCTGAAAAAGGACTATAAAGAAAAACTAGCTCTTGATGAATGAGTATTTAGTGTTTACTTAAACAACACAAACATATTAATTTAAAAAAAAAAAAAAAAAAAAAAAAAAACACACACACACACACACACACATATTCATGTATGAGTGTGTGTGTGTGTGTGTATATATATATATATATATATATAATTTTCTTGGAAGCCAAAATAAAAATTCATTTTTACCGTCTTACTTCAAGGACAATGCCAAATCATTGGTGTTTGTATTTATGTTTTGTATTGGTTTCATTAGTGTAGTTGTGGCTAAGAATATTCACAAGTCAATTGTTGCTTTCATGTGAAGGAAAAATTGGGCCCTACATAAAAATGATTAACGGAGTAAAATGCTCAAATTACTAGTCAAATTTTGTCTTAAAAAAAGAGAGAGAAAAAAAAATATGATTATTTAATTGAAAGGATTGCTTTGTTGATAATGAACATAAGGCAACACTGTAACGGTTGAATTGAAGGACATTTGTCTAAACTACTTGGTTAATAAGAATACAAATTAAGACATCATAAAATCACAAAATGATATCTGTTATTATTATTATTATTATTATTTATTTTAGTGTGAAAGAATTTGACAATTCAATGGATTTGAGTGTGGTATTCATTTTTCCAAAATTTAATCTAAAATATTTTTAGAATTTTCACTTTCAATAGATATAAAGGGATGTGTCAGTATGGAGATTTTATTATTATAATAATAAATAATAATAAGAATTTTATAATATCATTCTGTAAGCACCAAGTGATTCAAAACGTGTTGCATTTGAAGCTTCATCAATGTTGAGAGTGACATCCCGATGAAGTTAAGTTTTCTGTGATTCTTCCAAATAAAATATAACAAGCTGCCAAATCATTTCCACAACTGTCGAATCAACTTCATCAAAAACTCAAATACACTCCACTTTATTCTTTAAAAGAGTTCAGCAGTATTTTAGATTAAATTTGTGGGCTTCTTTTGTTTTAGGACATCATGAAGAAACAACTAGAATGAAATATATGTAGAATAAAAAACAATTACTCGTCACAGTTTCATTTATTTGTTTATTTATTTATTGAAGTTTTTATATAAGCAAAAACTTTTACACGGTTGCATTAACAGGTGTCTTACTTGTACATGTCTCAGTTTTCAATACAACACCCAAATAGGCTCCACACAACCCATTGTAACTGCAAAGGGGAAGAAGTTGAAGCACAAGGCAAATACCTCTGAGGAAGTATTTCCAGGAGGGGGCTTGCCTTTTGATGCCCCAGTTTATCTCACTTCACAGACACCACCACCACTTCAAAACAAAGGTGAAATACACATCACCACACGCAATCCTTCCAGCAACCCATCCATCCACATTTCTTAGATTTTTTGTTTATTGTTTGAACACGTTTTTTTATTTTTATGATTTCTTTCGTTTTCACTGCTTCTGGGTGACGATGGGAGGGGCTTCATTGGATGTAATGACTGTGCATGGATGTCTTCTCCTGGAGCCGTATGATCCAAGAGCTGGATGATGAAACAGTCATTGACAACTGGACCGACGCTGGCTTAATTTGGCGAAGCAAGTCCAATGTGTGTATATATATATATATATATAAGTAAATATAACTCATTCATTGTCTGTTTACCAATTTGGAAAAAACAAACACACACACCCACTCTTTCACTCTATCTTGCACACATTTTGGATGTGTGTCACTAGGAACCCTAGCAAGCAGGCTGTGTTGTTGTTTGTTTCCTTTTGGCCCAGCCCCCTGGTCTGGCTTCTGGGGCACTTGGGGCATGATCAAAGCCCTAGAATTGTGGGCTTTTCCAGCACTAACTTGTTGCATCACCACCATCACTGCTGCTGTTGCCGAAGCCCACATGGTCCACAAAAACCCCCCTCCCTCCCTCCCTCCCTCCCTCGCTCGCTTGCTCCCTTTCTACAGTACCACGCAGCACGTGTGCTAGAAGAAAGATAGAACCCGCAAGCAAATTGGTACTAGTAAAATTCCCACAAGTCTAACGGCGACGTCAAACGAGCACCAGTTGCACCAATAATACAAACACCATTGATGAGCTTCACCAATGTAGGAAGATGGAAGAGTTGGCAGGAAAATGATTGTGGAGATATTGTGAATGAGGGAGGAGGGAGGTGGCGGTTTGCAAGGCCTTGTACTTACTGCACATCTTGTCACTCAGATTTTTTTCATTCAGTGAGGCCATTGATTTTTTGTAACTGTACTTTGGGCTTTTCAACAAGGAAAGACAACACATGGAGAATAGTGCATCATTGCACCGGAGTGACGCATCATGCGGGTAACTAAATTGGCCACTGGTTGCTGGGTGACGTGAGTTGTGATCTCAGTTCCCCATTTTTATTTTGTTTTTGTTTTTGTTTTGTGCTAGTGCAAACGAATTCTTGAAAACCGTGGCAGCAGCAGGGACTAGGCAACCAGCGCCGCAGCTCGGGAGTGGAAGCCGCGAGGGTGTGGCAGTTTTTTTTACCGACTTTGCTGGATCATTCCCCATCGTATTACCCACTGCCAGAATGCAAAGGGAGCCACGCGATGCCTGCCACTTGGACTTGGGGTGTGTGCTCAGGAAGCAAAAAATAATAATTGGTTTGTTGTTATTTTATATTGGATTTTACACCCAGTATGCTGCATGATCCCCCTCCCCCCCCCCCTGGTGCCATTCCTAGAGGATAAAGCAGTCCAGACAAGGCAGCAGACCCTAAT